ATATATACATATATATAATATTCACTTCTCTTTGGCTTTGCCAAGTTCAAGATGATTTACAATTCTGACTTAGCCTCGGATTTAGCCTTCGTTAAAACGTCAAAGGTGTGGTATACATGTGTTTACTTAGAACATATATGCGTTAAGTTTGCAAAAAAATATCTAAAAGTTGTGTCAATATTGTGCAAGTAGCATGCGTTTTATCTCGTATATCAGTGCGTGGAAATACGAGCGGTAGCGTCGACTATCTCTCATATCAATCAAGTTCACGATATCAATTAAACGATCCATAAAGTAAATTGCTAATATTTTCTTAAATATTGACAAGGAAATGTCTATAAAGCAATCTTTTCCCGATTTTTAATTTATTTCAAACGCAGCTCAAAAAGCTAGAAATTGATTTTTTCAAAGCATCAAGAATGATGTAAAAGATAATATTAATTCTTTAAAATAAAAAATGATAAATAAAGGAGAGATAAGGGAAGTGTGATTAATATTCTACAACATCTTCATATATGAATATTAAATTAATTTGATTATGTTCCTTAATATATATATAATTCACAAAGTTCACATAATAACAAAGATAGACATCATTAACTTATATTGTGTTTCTAATATATATTATGCATTATAATAAATTATATAAAAGTCTTTTTTTTACATTAAAAAAATTATATTTTTTTTTTGCAAGTAAAGTATAATTTCTCTATTTTAATAAATTTTTATTTGACAATGTAAATTAACAATTTTATCATAGATAATTCAGTATTGATATATTCTCTGCTGAATTAAAAGTGAAATTTATTATTTTGGTAGATAACCACGTGTCGAGTGATATCTATGCTGAGAAGGCATATGTTAGTCACTTCCGCGAAAATTATTTGATATCAGCCATATACGATGTAAAGGAAGAAAAAAATTTTTACTATCTTACTATCGTATCCAGATTAAAAAACAAGGAAAAGATATCATGAGTCAACGATTTTAAAGATATCATATAATAGTGATTTAAAAATAAATAAAATCTACGACGTAATCATCGTTCTAACAATAATGCATAAAATTTTACTCTTTACGATATTAGAATTTAACTTAAACTCTTCAGGCAAATTTTTTTCATATTCGATCTTTATAAATGAATTTCTCTAGCAATTTTTACTAAAGAAGAATTTATTTTATAGACACACACACATACACACAATTTAGTCTAAAAAGTTATAATTGAAATTTAATGCAGTCAAAACAAAACGTCTTGCAGATGACTTGTAGAATACTTGACATAATAGAGAACTTTGTCTTTAAGATTATTATAAAACATTCATATGATATATAAGGTGACATAGGATCTGTTTTTTTATAGCTGAACTGATTGTATTGTTCAGAGTTTATCTTTTTCTCTCCACATTAAGAGAAAGATAAGCTCTGAACTAGTGCAGTCAGTTCAGCTATAAAGAACAGACCCATAATGTACAAATTGTAAGTGCATTCTTAAGAATATTAAAAAAAAATATTTGTAACGCTAATTTTTAGAGAGATAGTATTACTACCGAAGAATATCATATTTTGAACAATTTAAGTAAATTAGATTTGTTTTTTGTTTACATATTTAATTTATAGTTCAAATTTATATTATTATTATTTATATTTCTTTGTAAAAATTTGTTCTACATAATATATACGCACGTGTCAAATTTTAGTCATCAACTTTGTGGTATTCCGGTCATATATAAATAAAATGAGTTTCCGTATATCCAGAATTGTAAAGAAAATTGTTTATTAATAAATAAAATTATTAAAAGCCTCCAACTATCTAAGGCAGCAGTTAGCTAAATAAACTCAAATAGATTCTGTACGTCGATGAACTGCTCATCTATGGATTTATCGAAAAAAATATATATAAAGCATGTGCACAGAAAAATTTTAATTGGTAATGTTTAATATACAAGATGCAGTGAAAGAGAGAGAGAGAGAGAGAGAGAGCTCGATAATAACGTAATAATATTTAGAAGACTATCCCTTCTTTTTCACAAACATGTCACATGTATCATAACACAGCTGAATCATCAGTAACCACATGTAATTGGCGTGCTATAATTCTTTCGTACTTTGCTATGCAGCGTGATAAAGGCTTTCATTACATATAGGGTAAATTGGAAATATTTTTAAATATTTATGGCATTCTCTTACGATTGTTTAAAATAAAAAAAAGTAATGATAACAAACACAAATTGTAAACAGAAAATCTGAAATAATGTTTCTTAATACATGTCTATTGTTCTTCCAATGTTAAACATCGAAGATAGATTGAATAAGATTTAAGAAATAACGTATATGCCAATATACATATAAACTGACAATGAAAAATGATGTTACCAATGCTACGAGAGAGAGAGAGAGAGAGAGAGAGAGAGAGAGAGAGAGAGAGAGAGAAAAAGAGGTACTGTCTCTTTAATATTATCGATGAACTTTTCTGTAGATACGCGTTATAACAATATCTCATGCAAATAGAATCTAAACAGGCCTTAGGCCCGGTTGCATCAATGTCATTTTGGCTTTAAACAAGACTTAAAAAAATTTTTGGCTTTTGGCAATAACCAGTGTTATTTGATTTTTGTCTTTAGACTATAATTTAATCGTTGATTAACTTAATATAATAATAATATAATATAAATATAATATAATAAAATAATATGATATATATAATAATATAAATACAATAATAATATAATATAATTTAACCGTTGATTAATTTATAGTCTAAAGTCTATAGCCGAAAACGAAATAACATTGTAAGTGCATTCTTGATTATTGCCAAAAGCCAAAAGAGTTAAGTCTCGCTTAAAGCCAAAATAACATTGATGCAATCGAGCCTTATCAATATGAAAGCGTCTGATACGAGCCGCTCTCGTAATACACACGCGAATTAAATCGCACGGAGGAAGCGGCGGATTACGCGAGCCCGTCAGTCGTCGTTGTAGCGATTTCATTGAACCAGCTCTAAATTTAAATGCGACGAAGAATCGAGCCGAAATAGTCCGGCTTACGCAAATAGCCGACATTTTTGCATACGCTTGGAAATTTTATTCGATAGTCGACAATAACACACCGACAATTGAAATTCATATTTTGCATGCGTCAGGAGCGTCGATTTCCTTCATTTCTTACATTCTTTCGTTTATATTAGTTTCAAATATCAGATCGGTATTTCAAATATTTTTTCATTCATTAAAGATTGATATTACATTCCTAAATGAAAAAATTTAAATTTATGAAAAGCAAGAAAAAAATGAAATGTAATTAACATGAAGTATACTCAACACGTAGTCTAATTATATTTTATGTAGCAATATAAAATGCAATATATTGGAGTAAAATATTTTTTTTTATTTAATTATAATATTCTTTTTTATTGGCAATTTCTATATTTTAAATTAAATGGTCGAGATACAAGCTTTTGATACAAGAAAAAATGGAGAGAAAAAATAAATTAAATGTTTCTTTTTTTTTATTTGCCATAATTTTTTATACCTTTGCGTTCAAAATAAGACAAGTATATAGAACACGCAGAGAAAATGGAAGATGTGCAAAGCGTAATTAAAAGAATTGGCATTTAAATCACAGAAAAGTGTAGCATAAATGCAGTTAAAAAAAAAAAAAAAAACAGAGCATGCCCTTGCTTTCGAAGAGCGAGTGCATCGCGCATGGCGAGCGGATGCGCCGATAAGGTTAAGTTTACTTCGATGGTCGTATCGGAATTTTGATGGTTACGGTATCATAAAACGAATGACCGAGTTGTGTGTAACCGATGTTAAAATGTCAATGAGATGTCATCGGAACGCGAATGTTTACTCACTTGTTTGCCTCGGATGACGACGACGAGCGCGGCGCCGGCCGCGGTGAGGGCCCACGTGAACAGGGTTCCGAGGAGCGCCTGAACGATCGGTGAATGATCCTTGAGCATCGCGTGCGAGCTTCCGTCACATCAGGGCAGGAGCTACTAATGAATGACGCGCGGGTCTTGCGGCGAACTGTGCGTTTGCGAACGCGGAGAGAGCCGAACGAAGCGAGATCTCGCGAGATCGGTCTACGGTGCACTCAGTCCCCCGCACTGCTTATCTCAACCACCGCGCGCACCACCGATGCACAGACATCGAGTCACTACTACCACACTACTGACTACACTACTACTTGACCGAGTGGCGCGATACACGTGTGATGTTGCCACTCCACTGTCCTCTCGTCTCGTCGCGACCTTCAATCGAGACTTCCGAATATCCGTAGGCGCGACGTACGCACGCACGAAATAAATGCGTCTCTTCCATACGTACGTGAACGTATCGGAGACGAGCATGCGTGCGCGAGTGCGGGCGAGATCACCTTCGATTTCTCCCTCGCGCCGATAAGCAGGGTTGGTCACGTCCGTGACGTCACACGGGGCACTGCGTCGCGACCAACTTCCATCGATATGCCGGCCAATGGGCGGATCGCGCGCGATTCATACCTCGTATGTACGAGGGCGAGTCCGCGCGTCTTTCGCCCGTGTCGGCGCCGCGTCTCAAGGCCTTGTCCGTACCGGTTATCAACGATGTCAAGGTATTTGCCTTGATCGACCCTCGTCCGATGGTGAAACGCCGGAACGCGAACGCGTTTTGAGAAAACGAGGAGCGTTTTTTTCGTTGGCGCGCGCGACGTGACCTGCGACGTTCGACCGCGAGGCGCCACCGTCGACCTATAATAATATATAGCATATAGAGCAGACGACGCACATGAATTGTCAACGTGCAAACATGGCGTCCGCAACGGTAGGTGTATGCCGATCTTTCGCACAATCGACCGCATACTGACGCTACATGTCTTTTTTTTTTTTTTTAGTCGTAGCGAGAATCCTGAAGTATATTTGATTGTCTTGTATGCGAAATATAAGAGACGTGTTTTATTACGGAGGAGATCTCGAGAATAATTCTAGTTGGCGATAGTCGGTGGAAAGTCGTTGTTCTGACATTCGCTTGCGCACACATTTCTGTATGTATATATTAGCCAAAGAAGGGTTCGTATGTATGATAGTTATATTCCGGTTCTAGCTGCCTTGTGAAAGAGCGAACGTGGATATTGCGTCTCCGGGATTTGATCTCGTTCATTTGTGTTTCTTTCGTGTTTTCGAGAAACATCTCACGTTTTAAGTTTCTTCATCCACGTCATAAAAATATAAATATATGTATAAGTCTTGGGGAAAGACAATAAATATAACGGAGATAAAACGGCATAAATATATTATGCTCGATATATCTATTTAGAATGTTCTACAATCTCGTTTGTAGGTACCTTTACTGATGGATGACGATGCAATAGCTTTCGGAGAGGAAGAGGAGGCTCAAAATGCCAACAAGCTTAAGTACGTATAAGGATATATTTTTGAACACACAAATGTGGATTATATCTTTGTAAGATTAAATATTATTTCCTGCAATTCTAGACATCCATACGTTACACTGTTTCATTTGGCCTTCAGGATAGCAGCTATAGTAGTTTATATGCTTTGCGGTTGGTTTTCAAATAGCTTTATAGCGAGTTTTGTAACAGTGGTACTACTTTTATCGATGGATTTTTGGACCGTTAAGAATATTACCGGAAGATTAATGGTTGGACTTAGATGGTGGAATTATGTGGATGACGATGGCAAAAGTCATTGGGTTTTTGAATCCAGAAAGGTTTGCTTGATTATATATGTTTTGAGATGTATTTTGATTTATGTTACTAAAATAGCAAGAGATTATTTGAGTTTTATTAAATTTTGAATAATTAACAATAAGATGCTCTAGAGAAAATGGTATTTCTTCTGGCAGTGGCATAATCGGAATTATTTTAATTCTATATTTAAAAGAAGATGTAAATTCATCATTTTATATTACATTACATGTAACTATATCACACAAGTTTCAGTTAAATGCATATATTATAAAGTGTAGTTCTTTGAATTATCAGTTATATTTTTCATGGTCCAATACACAAATGCTAATTTAAACAGGTTGAGTAAGAGTTCAAGGTTCATCAGCTCTCATATGTTTACATCCTTGACATTATCTGAAATCACTGTTATTGCTTATGCATATTATAAATAGATAATTACATAATGAATTTATGCTTCATTGCACAATTATTGTAGATATATATTAAAATGTAGCTAATATAAATTAGAGCAGTTAAATATAATTCCAATATATAGATCCAATACCTGTTTCAGTGTACCCTGTGTTTCAGGGTGCACAACAGAATCGCATTAATGCAACAGAGGCGCGAATCTTTTGGTTGGCGCTAATCTTGTGTCCACTTTTTTGGTCAATACTATTTATTGTTGCATTGTTTGGTTTTAAATTCAAGTGGCTTTTACTTGTCTGCATTGCCATTGTTTTGAATGGTGCAAATCTATATGGCTATGTTAAATGTAAGATGGGAAATGATCAAAACATTTCAGCAGCCACTAGTGATTTCATCAGAAAACAAGTGATACAAAATGTAAATTTATATATGAAAATTTAGCAAATAATTTATCATATATACCTATGTAATTCTTATTTATTTCATTTTGCTACAGGTTGCTTCAATAATGACCAGGAGTCCTCCAACGAATAATTCCAATCAACCAACTAATGTAATATAAATTTGTATATTTGTAAGCACACTGACGTGTTTGTGTGTGTGTGTGTGTCATCTCAAATTCATATATGCCTGATAATTTAATAAATATTTGCAAATGTTCGTGTATATAATAATGTTAGACTGTATTCTTTTAAGTATTCTATAAAATAAATCGTTATCAACCTTCATTTTACGTTTTGATAGAATTTATTTATGATGGCGTTTCCTGAAATGTTGCAGGAAATTGAAATGAATATTTACATCAAAAAAGCCAAATTTACGTTAGTACTAGTTTATTAATGCCGTGAGGCAATACATAATGTACACGGTATTTTTCCTTGTCAACAGACTCTCTTCCTATTACACAATATTTATTTTGTATAGTTGTTAATTAGTAACATTGCATTTATCATCAGTTTACCTCAGCCTGTTGTATTCTTTCTGGCAAGAAAGTATCACAAAATAATTTCCCATTCTTTCAACGATATTTAGTATTTGACTTATTCTTTGCTTTTAAATTCATATTCTTCGGATCTGCGACAGTCGCTTTACTGATTCATCTACAGATGAAATTGAGGCGATCTTATACACAGTAATAAACTCGCTATATATTGCACGGAGCTATATAAAGCAGCCGATCGTATTTTATTATATTATCAAAAGTGCTCCGAAGACACACGCGAGTTGTGTACGTTTTCAAGAAGAATACAACAAACCACATATTGCTATACATTTTAGGTCATACAAAAAATTATATAAAACTAACAATAATCATGCTACAAAAGTACAATATATACGAAAGTTTTGGAATGATATAAAAAAACTTAATAGTATTACAATTATTATAAATGCATGAATATTGTGGACTTTTTTCGTAGCAGTAAATTTTAGCGATTATAGATTAATGATACCAACTTATAACTAGTAATATATTTATACAATAATTTAATTTCGTTTTTTGTAACATATCTTAGTTTGAAATTTTAAACGTGAAGCCATTAAGAAAGTTGGCCAAAGTACATACGTTGATAATATAATTACATTGAAATCTTGATCAGTTTTTCACAAAAGTTTTGTCAAATTAATGTTTTACATTATTATTAGAAAAATGTTTAACGTGAATGAACATTTAATGATTTATTACAGATGAATACCTATAATAATGAGATATTTGAAAGTTATTTTTAGCAAAAGTCTTTAATTTCTCTTTTTTTCCAGAATAATAAGACTTTATAATAAAACATCAGTGTGTACAGGGCGTTTGACTTTTAAAGTTTAAGAGCTATCAGTTTCTTTATCAAGAAATGCTTTCATAGCAAATACTACTTCATCAAAATAAATAGTTAAAGTAATTTGATTCTATCTTGTAAATTTTTGAGTAATTGTATAATGTAATAAGAATCAGATTAAAGTATTTCAATAGAAATAAGTTAATATTATTATTTACAGGTAAAGCCTCCTGATACATATAATTGTTAAAATGTCATCCATTCTTATCTTAACTGTCTTTTACATATTGTATTGAGTTTTGTGTCTAAGTTTTCAGTCATATATTGTTAGAGCTAATAAACATTATTCAGTCATACACCATGTATAACATTTCGTTAGCAATATCTTAAAGAATGTGAATCTGTTTGGGCGAGTCTTTATAAATACCAATTGCAGTTTTTGAAATTACGCATAGTATCTGAGAAAATAAAAGATATTGCAAACTTTTTTCGTGTTGTTTAAAAGTATTCATAATTTAATTTGCATAAGAATGTTTAATAAATGTATTATACATTGAACTTAATTTTAGTTAAAGTAATAAACATATGAATGTGTGAAATGTGTTTAATGGAAAAAACAAACAAATTCTATGAAAAATACTATATAAATGTACGCTCTTCTTTAAATAAAATAAAAATAATAAAACTGGAAGCTGCATATTGACGTAAATAGGTTATGGTTACATTCTGAAGGCCAAATATTATCGAGCCGTAATAAAGGTTGCCAACATTGTAAAAATTAACACAATTCGATAATTCAAAAATGTGTCGTTAATGTAAAAATTTGAAGTGTTAATATTAAAGCTGTAAAACTTGAGACGTAAGGCAAATTGTAGAATCATTTTTTATAACTAGTATTATCATTATTATTATTATTGTTACAAGTAGTAGTAAAATTATTATCATTACATTATAATTTAATGAAAAATGTCATGGTTCATAAATGGTTCAACAGGCAGTGAAAAATTTGATGCAATTATGTAATTATATACGTACATTATAATGGTATATAATGAAATAAATTAAGTACTTTTTCAAGCACAAAGATATATAATATTAAATGCAAATATGAGATGGCCCTCAGTTTGTTAACAGAAGGAAAAAATATCCTAATAATAAAGTAATATCATTTTAGCATCATATGCATCTTTCCAATCCATAAAACAACATTTTACACGAAAGCCATTGTATAGAAGTATGTCAAAACAATGTAATAAACACAATTAAAAAACAATAATATTTTAAAAAGTATCAAAAAAGTATAAAATCGTAAATAAAAAATGATCCGAGAATTAAATATTATGAGTAGGTACAACATATATTGACAATGAGTAGATTACACATTCTTTTTTTTCAATTAAAACTTAAAGTATAGTCTGGAAAATACCCACATGTTTTTAAATATCTCCATGTCTTTTATGCACACTCGTATCTCTTTTATGATATTTATAATATATATCTATGTATATATATTATTCATCATTTTATATATATATATATATATATATATCATCATTTTGTATATATTTATATAATGTTGCTAATGACAGACGGTGCATTTATGTACAGATAGTCACAGTTCCTGACCCTCGAACCGCAGTAATTAATGGAAAAAATATACTTGTATGAAATCATGGAAATTATGGACATCATGAAGCTGCCATCAAAATGGGACATGGCACATTGGATTCAAACATGTCAGGTATGTATCATAAGCATAGATAGTTGCAAAAGAATGTCAAAAAACAGAGTCCATGCTCAATAAAGTCTCTGAGCACTGCAAATAACATCACATTTGTTATTGCGTGTACATACACTTTTTTTAATCGATAATTTCTAAAGTGTTAGATAAAAGACGCTGTATCTAATATCATACAAATTTAGAAGTACAGAATACATAAACAAGTGCACAATTATTGTCCTCATAGATTTAAGAGTCTGCAATTTTGAATTGCAATATGCGTAGTTAAAGTTATCGCTATAAAGTGGAAATGTTATGATAAAAGTGATTAATTAGCGCTTTTATATAAAATATTAAATAGAATCAACTATTGACTATTATAAGTGCATCAATAGGCACAATAAAAAGTAGGATTAAGTACATTCACTGTGATGATTTTCTAAAATCAAAGCAGTTAATGCATTCATCTTTTTTAAATCATAAGTAATTGTAAGAAAAAATATTTGAATTTCTTACAAATTCACTAACATAGAGCGATTCTATAGAATCAAAAATTTTATAAACTTACCAAATTAAATATTTTCACCATAACAGATATATTGTGTAGCAATGTTCCATCCAATGTGCGTTTTTGGCATTGATCTGGCATTTGAAAAAAGAAAAAGATATTTTACAAATATCGATAAATTTAATGTACCATTAATAAATGTGAATATCTTGTATGAATTAAATTTTGATGAAAATATCTGTTCAACTATATGTGAATCAAAAAACAAACTGATATACAAAAACAAATATAAATTTATGGTATACTGTCTATTTGAACATATTTAAAAAAACAATAAAAGTATTCGAGGTAGAAGCTACATTGGAACTTTGTACATAAAGGTATCGAGGGCTCGGAAGAACAATACACGATTTCAACATACAGTGCTTCTATGTAAATTAGTTTTTCTTCTTTTATAGAAATGTGCACCCAAATTTTTTTATTTGTGCACTTTTCATTGAATATAGGCACCGTTTCCTTTCATCCTTCTTTCATTCGAATCATTTTTTCATCATCATTTCCCTAATGGCATCGCTTAATCTAGCCTTAAAACAATTTTTTTTCTTATGATCTATCTAACATTATTATAATAGATAAAATGAGAAGAGATCCCTACTGTTCATAACGAGTACAGCATAATAATTGTCAATTTGGCAGTATGGCAATTTTCTTGTCTCTTGTGAGCGGAAATTTTCATCTCTCTTTCTCTCTCTTTTGTAAAGTTAAAGAAAGTTATTTAGTTGATTTTTCGATCTGTTATTTTTTCTACATCAGTAAGTACTTGAATATGTGAAACGTGTCATATACTGTAAATTGTAGATTTTTACCTTCATATATGTGTGCATTTTACACATATATGCAGTGCATTACTCATCTGTTTCTCTCACAGCATTAACATCAACACCTTTTCATTCCTCTATGCAATCGCTACTGAAGGAAGCACTCTCATCTTCAATAAACGGGAAAGGATGTCTCAGTTTGTAAGAGGCATCCATGCATGTAATGCACTATATTTTGAGTGGGAGAGAGATATGATCGTAATATTTCAGTCTATCTTAGAATTAGATTATCTAGACTTAAAAAAATGCTTTTACGAATGATCGATTCGACAATGGGATATGTTCCAATTTACTAATTCACAAATGTGAATCCTACGCAGTGACGGCTTGTAATTTTGATTACATTATCGTACTTAATTAATCTTTTAATGTGAGAGAATATCTGGAAATTAAAAAGTCCGCTCTGTTCACACAAAGGAACGAACGTATGTATGACAACGTACGACACAATCGTTTATACAATCATGCGTATTGTATTTCTAAACGGCAGTTTTGACTCGCGTTTTAACTCGCGCGAGGGAACTTTCGAATCTAATTTTTAAAAAGAGATTAACCTAAGCTGATGAATGCTTCTTAGCACGATTTGGGCATTTGTTATATCATCAAGAATGAAAATTTCCTTCGAGTATTTGCATTTACTGTAACATCATTAACTAAACATTTCTCTATGTTAACTGCCCACGACATTAGTAATCGCGTTGCTATTGTATTTGTTCTTGGAAGGTACGAGTATGTCACACGATTTTATTGTACTAGACACGTCGTACTTTTGCTCTCTCGACATCTCTCTCGCCTCTCTGCCGGTCTCGCTTGTCCCTCGACAGATCTCTTTGTTCGCGAGAGTCGGCTTGTCAGTTGGCATAATGATCAAAAGACCCTAAATATTCCAAACTGGCTCGATAGCAGAACTGGTATTGATCCTGAAACAAAAAACAGAAAATATGATTAAAGACATTACTTTTACGCGAGTGTGCATGCATATATATATATATATATATATTGTATTATTTATTATATAATACTGTATTTTGTGGAACAATAAAAGGAACAAGCCTACAAACCTCGGTTTGAACCATAGCCGGACGTTGCGTGCGTAATATTCTCACAGTCTGGAAAATATCGACCACGCCCTCATACTGCATTCGCTCCAATACAATACTAAGCGTTATGAAGACACCCGTCCTTCCTACACCAGCGCTGCAGTGAACGGTGATCGGTCCGTCTTGACCGAACTGTTCCTTCGTTTTATGAACCTGACCGATAAAGTCGATAAAACCATCACCAGATTTCGGGACTCCTTGTTCTGGCCAGTCGATGAATTGGAATTGCCTGACCGTACGGCTGGCACCATCGCGCGCATCCGTCACTTTGAATTCTCGCAAAATGTATTGCGGCATATTATATTCCGCGATCGGATCCACGACGAAACACTGGTAACGAATAGATCGGTCGGACGGCCAGTACTGATGACATTTTTCTCTGCCCATCTCCTTCAGTTTCGTCAGCATGACGACGATCGTGGAATTGTGCTCCCATAGCATACGCCAGAAATCGTCAGTAGTGTCGCACAGAGGACCTTGTGTCGCTATGTAAGCTGCTCTATAGCGATATCCGTCAATCAAGCTTGCATTTATATAATCGGATCCCTCGATGTTACGTTGTGGTTGCAGGCACACTCTAGTACATTCGTAAGGCAGAATGTGGACCAATCGATTTTTGTGCTTGTTGCATGGTAGATTCGCGGATATAAATCTAGTCGAGTCGGCCTTGATGTTGGAAAGCTTCTTGAATTCCAATTCCATTCCAGTTATATTGTCGATCTCAGGTTGCATGAGTTTCTGAATGTGGGAATGCAGATTTCTGGCCGGTACCTCCGTATTGCCGCAGATCACCGCTTCGAGCAGAGCATCGTGAATGAAAATGTATTGATCTTCAGTTTGGACCATGTAATTCCTCTGAGCTCGTAGACATGTGACGTGGCCGTAAATGTCGATCATTTTCTCATGCTTAATCCTTTCCAACATCGAGTCTATTACGATGAAGCAACCAGTTCTTCCTACGCCGGCGCTACAATGCACTACTAACGGTCCACTATCGGGTACGTTAAGTGATCTGACTCTGCGTAAGAATTGCAAAAACGGTGCGGGATGTTCCGGCACACCGTGATCGGGCCAGGCTGTGAATTGCAGCTGCTTTATCTCGCGTCGTTCAGAATAGCCCGCTCGACAAACCTGAAACGTGCGGATACAGTAGGTTGCCAGTTCTTGAATATCGCTAATGGTCACGGTCATTTGTCCATAAGTTTCGGAGCCTCTAGTGGGCCAGTATTGATCGCATTTAATCCTTGTTCTCTCTTCCAACTTTGTCATCATCACGATCGTGCTAGTTCGCAATTCCCAGCACATACGCCAGAAGTCACCGAATGTCTCCTGTAGAGGTCCTTGCGTGGCCACATATGCATTTTGCTTTCTATAACCATCGCAATAATTTGCATTGATATAATCCGAACCCGGCATACCGTCGACAGTTTGAAGAATGACCCGTGAATGGTCGTATGCGATCACATTGGCATAACGATTCTTCGACGCGTTGACTTCCATATTGGAATGGTCCCACGTAAATTGTTGACCAGGCTCTATCGATTCGTACTCTTGACTGAATTTAAGATTGTCATTCGTTTTCAGGCGCTCGATGTGATTGCCCAGTTCGCTGATTGGAATCGGTGGGTGTGAGATCATGCCTGGAGTTTGGAAATTCAATCGTCGCATTTCCACCGGATCCGACGGCGCGTGATTAGAACTTATATCCGCCGCCATGAGCGGTCGTGTAACGGCTGCTTGATCTGGTGCTTTGCACGGTTGTCTTCGTCTGAAATAATTATGAAGTGAAAGTGATGAATGTAAAACTCTTACGTGCATAAACTTTGAATTATTTTTTTCCTAAGAAACCGAACTTACTTTTTAATGACGAATAGAAGAACAAGGCAAACGCTGACCATCAATGCTGCGATTATGGGACCAACGACCCATACCATACCTGGTTCTTGACCACTAGTTTTTACTGAAACTTCCGGATTTCCATCCGGAGGAGTATTGGGATTTGGTCGACGTGGTGGTTCGCCGGGAGGTACTTCTCTCATGTCCAAAGATAAATATTCGGAAAATGGTGACGACGTGTACAGATGCTAGAAAGAATATTCTTCCATAATTATCGAATTGTACATACTCGTACGTACAAATTTCGCAAAATGTTCCATGTATCTTACCTTTCGTGGAGTATCGACTACGGCCCGTACGAATATTCTATAGCGTTTATTTTTTGCGAGTTTCCGATTTTCGTATCCCTCGTAGATGTCTCCGCTGCCTAAATGGAACGTATACGGAATATCTCTGTGTGGAAACTTAGCTGCGATATAGGGCGCATTTTCCCTCTCTTGCTTGGCACCTTTTCCGGTAATCATATCCTCGGTCAACTCATCCGGTTGTTTATCGGCGGTACTCTTGTCTTCGGGCACGACTATCAGGTAATAGTGCGAAATCGGGCCGTATTCCTCGGAAGCTTGCGGCAGAATAACTTGAATCTCTTCGCCATTAACCACGCCGTAGAAGTCTGGCTTCACCATCGGTTTGGGTGCAGCCATCTGCGTGGTGACCGTAATTTTTGCCGGTGGTCTATATTGACCGTCGCGTGGTACAGCGCTCACGTTGACGTTATAAGTCGTAAACGGTTGTAACTCGTTTATCATCGTGCTCGTTGTTTGAGGATCCAATAGTATTTGCCTGCGAGGGACGATCTGTGTTTGTGTTATACCCTGAGAATCTACGAATTCTTTAACAGCGTCGAATGAGACTTTGTACTTCATCGGGGTCAGTCTTATGGGCGGAGTCCAGGACAGAGTCATCGAGTGTGTCGATGAGTCTGGTGCTCTAAGATTTAGCGGTACATCTTCCGGTTTTACCTTTACTGTGACCTTCTCGCTTAGTCTTCCCAGACCGGGCTTGTAGCGCGCAGCTACCGTTATGGCGTATTGGGTGAATTTCTCCAGATCTCTTCTGCTTCCACTCGTCTAGATCTTCCACAGCGGTCGTCGTATAGAAAATTTGATAACCGACGATCTTTCCTCTGTTGGGTACTGGTTCCCACCACACCTCCACACTGGAATCCGACGTGGCCACTGCTCTTACGGACATCGGAGCTCGGCCGATGTCCTTCTCCGTCATTATCGTGATTTTCTCGGAATACGGACCGCTACCTTGCGACGTATGCGCTCGTACATGAAAGACGTATTCCGTGTTCTCCTCCAGATTGGTGAATACCGCCCTCGTCTTTGTCGTGTTCCTATCTATAGTGCTAGAGTGATCGTTCTTTTTGTTGAACTGTACGTCATAGCCGATTATTTGGCCGTTTCTATGCTGTCGAAGGGGTTTATCCCAAGTAACGCACACGGTGTCGGGAGTTTGAAAGAAGTACGATAAGTTGGTCGGTGGCCCCGTGGGTTCGCCTTCCGGGCTGAACCAGTATCGCACGGTCTCCTGGCCAAAGCCGATGTCATTTTTACCCGCTACTCTGAATTCGTAATCAACGCCTTGTTCTCCTATAGATTATTTGAAGAAACAATTTATTATATGGCAATAGAGGTAAGAATAATTCATAAAAATAAATAGCGATTTTTATTCTGTATCTTCAAGATTTATATATCATACTACAAAACATATATTAGGCATTAATTAAGTATTAATTTTTCTCACCGAGATCTGTGATTTTATATGTATGCTGACGCGTGCTCTCGATAAATTCCTCCTTGAGCGTTTGATTCTTTATACCATATCGAATACGATATCCTAGCAGAGTACCATAGGTTTGAGTGGGTTGGACCCATTCGAGTTCCAAGACGTCTGGGCCTCTGTTTAGTACCCTGAAAAAATAACGTGTACAGATTCGATCAGTTGCGTTAAAGTTTTTTTTATAAAAGTACAATATTTTTAAGTCGGCGTTTCTTACTTCACGTTGACTTGCGGCCTGTTCGGTACTCCGCCCGGTGTCCTAACGTGAATCGGTACCGAACGGTCTCCGTCTCCTTTTCTCGTTAGTGCCGCCACTTGCACCGAGTATCTCGTGTCCGGTTGCAGTCCGGTAATGTTCACCTCTAGCACGCCGTCCTCATGCACGTCTCGACGTATTGGTTCGTTCAGTAGATCTTTCCCCTGAGAAATTACCACAATTTCATCGCGAGCTCATTTCACTATCTATTTCTGTGTACCTTACATTGTTTCATTTAAGACAGACATAATCATGTAATATGCGTGATTGTTAATGTTATGATTTAAAGCAATAATTGCACCTTATTTAAAAAATTGAATGTTCTATTTATACGTTCTATTGATACAAGAGAATGAAGATGGCAAAGATAAAGGGACGATATTCACGATATAATACATGAATAGGGGAGGAGAGGGACGATAAAGAGAACAGATATAAGATTTCATTAATAAGTTTCATGTTAAGAGTTTGAAACTTGCAATGCTACGCTATTGATCGTGTAACAACCACAAACTGACCTCCTCCCTCACTTCCTGCACGTGTATGTGGTACCCTCGTATAACGCCATTCTGATCTTTCGCTTTTGGCGGCTTCCACTCGACGTGTATTGCCGTCGAGTTGATCGGCGAGACTTTGACGTCTTGAGGATCCCCCGGCACTGTAACGCAATCCATAATTAATTCGCGCACTTTATGCTCATCTGACGTCACACTCACAGACACACGCCCATGTATACCCACAGACGTACGCAGACAGGAGATAATAAATAACGGTTTTATAAAATCTGAAATAATATAAATAACGTACTTGTATAAAATTCAAAGAAACTGATCAAGAGAAAAAAAGAAATGTAAGAATCTGTAAGTCGTTCGCAGTCTGTCTTGTCTGCCAAAAGATCATTACGTACGATCATTATTATTATTTACATTTCAGAAACAAAAAGAACAATGTTAGAAGCAATAAGCGTTAATATATCGGTAGCTAAAGTATTCTTCGTCGCAAGGAGAAAATGTACTTAAAGAAAAGAAAAAGCGAGAAATAGAATTAATCTTTTTATACAACGTTTCTTTTACATTCTACTACTGTCCATCCGTCCAATTCGTCGCTGTAACGAAAATTAAAAGAAAAATAGACGATAGAGCGAGAATAAGGTAGCGGTAAGATACAATTGAAAAGGAAACGCGAAGATACCAGCGGTTGTAGCGCGCTTGCGGAAAGAAAAATCATAAGTAAAATAAGTTGTCGTGAAAGAAAGATGAAACGAGAAAAATGAAAGAAATGAAGAAGTAGTGGAGAAGGTAATTACATGCCGCCAATCACACACGGACAAAACGACGTACAAACAATATTACGAGGCACGTTGTACCCCATGCTCTACGCCCCTGATTACGATCATGATCCTCCATTTGAATACCAATAATGCTTTTTTTCTCTCTTTCTTTTTTTTTTTTTTTTTTCTTTTCCGCGTGTTCGGTTCGCGCCTTCGCGTATACAAGCGCGCGTAGATACGTCCGAGTATACGGTCAAGTACGCGGTAACGTTGGACACGATAACACAGCGGCAATATTGGAGAGTCCATGACTTGAGAGAGATCAAGTATGTGTTTGAACGCGAGCTTTCGCGGTGGAAGGTGTGTACAAGTGCACTCATCAGGAGAGTAAAAGTTAGCCGCGACAAAACGAGAGTCTTGCTCTTGGACCGGATGCAGTGGCAGTGGCGGTAAATATGCACGTCGCCTATTTACAACGTTTATTTACAACCACGACCGCCATCCGGGAAGTTAGAGACTTTCACGCGACGACGTGTTTTCGCGTCAACGTCGTAACTTCTAACGTCGCGATTCCAGAAGTTGTCCGAAAGACGAGATAACTCGATTGTTCCATGGACGGTCCAGTATTCGTCGTCGCTAAACGGCTAGTTATAAGAGAGAAATGGGAAACATAACATGATGGGGAAAACAAAAATCCAGATAAAAACCAGCACTGCCTAATACCTATTTCCGCACGATATATATATGTATATAACAATAATAGCAGCTTTCTACGATGGGAGGATTCGCAAAAAACGAAACTTGCGCCGCAACGAAAGTACATACAGAAAATTTCGACGCAGAACTGAATCGTCGTAGCGCGGATTTGATGAGAAGCGATTGGTAAATCGCGTGCTCGCTCTGCTTTTCTAGCTCTCGTACGTATACACAGTTAAGAAGTAAGATCAAGATCACACTTACAATTTCGCTATGTAGCGCAAAAAACAAGGACGGCGAGCGCGCGCAAGTCGCAGCGTAATGTATGTAATAACATGTCTTTTGAGATTATGTCATAATATATTCGCTGGCTGCAGCAAACAAAAAGAAATAACTGTAGGACAACACTCTGAGATTTAACTCTTTCGACAGACAACAAAAGAAGAGTATATGTAATATATATGCAAAAAAAATGAGACGGAGACAAAAAGAAAAAGTGAAACAAAAATTGACGGTATAGAAAAATATCATGGCACAACTCGAGCTAAGGGATACTCACTTTTTTCAGCTGCGCCCCAAAAGTCGCCAAAAAAGTGGGAAAAAAAAAAAACTCGTAAAAATTCGTGTCAACTTCGCACGTACATTGAATAGAATATTATAATGTAATTTAATTACTTTTTAAGGCATATCACAATGGGTAGCACACTACTGATTATCATCAAAATTGGCCCTCTATATATATATATAATGGCTATATCTCGATTTTACGATTAAAAAAAAAGTATAGACAAGAGATTTCTTTATCCTTCTCTTCTCGAAACAGGCACGCGCTCGCATTCGCTCGATTCGGTCCTTTCGCTCCGGCCTCATGCGCTCGATGGCAATCGCACCGCTTATTTAATCTCGCAACTGCTAACGAATGTCGGTGGCAACAAGATTCATGATCCAATCGATCGTTAAAAAAAAAAAAAAAAAAAAAAAAAAAAAAAAAAAAAATGATCGCTTGGCCCTCGGTTGCAGTTGGTCGCAGAGAGGCGGGAGACGTGAGAATATTTTTTTTGGCATGCGCAATCACTACTCCAAATATGAAATAACTAAAGGCTCATGTTCACCTGCCTCGTGTCGGGGAGCGAAAGCCATATGTATCTCACGTTTTTCGAAATATGCTCGACGTATATCAGCAGCTGCCGATAGCAATAATCTCAGAATGAATCGAGATCTCGAGTCCCCTTATCCCTCCTCCCCCGACACGAGACATTAAAGAGGGAAAGACCTATGATAAAATGCCTACGAAAAGAAAGCTATAGGAAGGAGAAACCATAAGAAAGAATAAGGTGGACGGTTTCTAGGATGTATCAAACGAGAGAAGGGTTTTGTCGCATTGCTACGGTATTCTATAGAACTTGGGCAGTCGTGAGAAAAACTCGCGATTCCTCTTGTGACATTATCGTCAAAAAACTCACGGTACAAGATTGGGATACATGTCGGTAGGGCGGAGTGTCTTCTGAGGAAAAATTGTTTCTCTTTTTTTTGCAACTCCAAAAAGTCACCCGCAAAAAACAGCAGCTCGATCAAAAACTTTTGTCGTTTCAGCAAAGGGGAGACAACAGGGTAAATTAAAGAGAGAAAGAGAGAAGACAAGAGAAAGGAAAGGGGGAGAAAAAAAGACAAACAGAGCGAGGTCTCTTTCTCGATTTAGATACCATAAAAAGGTATCCCGCTATTTGTCTCTCCTTCATCCCTCTTTTTTCTCTCCCTTTCTCTCTCTCTCTCTCTCTCTTAATATCAACATCCACCCGCGCATTCATCCACGCAAAAATCACAAAATTCCGCGTAAAGCGCGCGCGCAAATACGTTTCGACAGCCGTTGTCGAGACATGGTGGTAGAGATGCCGTTTATTTGATTAACGAATCGTGCGCGCGTACCTGTCGATGATCGAGTGTTGTTGAAACTGTCGATAGCATCTAAAATATCTAATTCAAATTGGCGAAACTAGTTGGATCGAGCTAAAAGGAATACCAACTGTGTTCATAAATCATGCGCTTTGTTGGGATATAACAATAATATAGTTTCATGTGTATCAAGTAAAAAATTAGAGAAAATAATCAGGAACATCAACGGACAGCCGAAGCTTATGAGATTTTAACATTACGCCTACGAAAGAATGTTGCTTCAACTGCTGCTTAATAATTCATATACAGAAAAAAAAACCACACACACATTTACATATACAGTATACTGTAATCATACCTTTTCTAGATATTTATGTAAAAAACATGTGTGCGCGTGTATCTCGAGATAAAAGATAAAATGTATCTATATTATATATTTAAAAAGAGAAAGATGTGGCATTTAAACAAAATATTTTGTACATATCGGAATCTCTCAGAGAGAATAATAAAATATTATATTTGACTTACAGAGACAGAAGTTGGAAACGGATCGAAGTCTCGCATGCAGAGAATGAAGGTATTATACGTAATATAGAAAATGGTCGTCGATCGGTTATGTACATTTCAACGAATTTGATTACGTATGAAAATTAATGGAATCAAGCCCGTAGTCCACATATATCCGGATTTTTCGTTTTGTCTCCATACGCAGCATAGGGGGTAAAAGTCTTCTAGATAAAGTGCGCTTCACCCACGCTGGATATTTCGCGCACGAGTAGAAATCGAGAATTCAATTTAGAATGTGCATTTCGCATTTCCATTTTTTACGCGTGCTACTTTAAAAAGGGACGAATATTTCGCTTGCGGATATTAAGGTCATTGGTCATTTCCGGCGGGGGTGAAGTCTGATGAGCCGACGTTGAATGCGATTCACTCGTCGAAATCCACGGAATTGTGGCCGATGTCGAGCATACAAATAAAAATATAATCATAAAAGATCTGATAAATATTGGTATTCAAATGTTTCCAAGAAAACGCTTCGCGAATTTCTTTTTTCTCTTTCTTAGTATAAATTGTGCGACTCTTTTCCTCGTTGAGAACGTTTGGGCGCAGAGAAAATTTCGCGCGAGAATTTTTGATTTGACTTTTATTTTATTATATACCGTTCTCCTTTGACTGATCACTTTCCTCCTGATGCTTTCGATTATTTTTCGTGTACGCTTTCTTACGCGCGTCGTCCTTCTTCCATCCGGTATCCTTTTACACAATCACTCACGCATTCACACGCACACTTTCCTGTCACGACCTCGAAAAGAAACACACCATAGACCGTTGTCGACTGCGGTCTTTTTTCATGATATTATACATAGTATCGGTTATAATAAATTCGTGCGCCATTATAAAGGCGGAAAACTAAATTTTCGACAAAAACAATCTGCATCCTTTGTATGTAAAATAATTTTCATGTTCACTTTCAAACGATAAAAAAAATTTTTAACACGTATGCGTAATCAACTTATGCAGATCTTTTTTTTTCTCGAAAAATTCGCTGATTTTCCACAAGCGTTCACGGATTAATAATCGTCGTAGTAATATCGTTTCACAAAGGGGTCAAATCATTTTTACTGCAGCTAAAAATCCTAAAAGCGAATCTACAGTATACGCGATCGCAAAATACCCCCGTCGTTAATGTTGCCATTTCGGTTATTATCGGAGCTTTTGCATCGCGCTATTTCGAGATCGCCTCAGGAAGGAGCTTCAGGTTGCACGACAGTCGACAGTAAGGGTGCTTTTCGAGG